TTGACCCCTTTCACTATTCGCATTTTCAGAGTATTGCACTAAACATTACTCTGTAAAGCAATTTAAGCAAATATAATTAAGAATTTCAGCTTGAATGATTAAAGGAAAGTATGTCTCCTCTTTTCTCAGTATGCTGAGAGTATTGAACAGAACTGTGACTGAAAATTGAGCGTGTCTTAAAAACAAACCCCAAGGCTAAGTGAAAGTCAGTTTATAGACATTTGGGAATTTGATTTGTTCACATCTTCCCATAAGTTTAGAAAGATCTGTGCCAGTATTTCTGTAAAGTAAAATAATAATAGAAAAAGCCCCTGCAACTAATTTCAGAGTGCATAGGAGAGAAAATCCATAATGTTTTGTAAAGTGCTGGCTCGCCTAATAGATTGTTTGTTTTACTTTTAGGATATAGTCAGAAAGCCATTTGACAACCAGATGTGCATTCGACCTGTTAAAAAAAAGTAAATAAGAATTGTTTAGAATGCCAATCAGTTCAGATTTTACTGCTCATAATGTTGTTGGGCTTTTTTCCCTTTCAGGTCAGTTACTCAGTCAGTTCTTTAATCTTACATGTACCTTAAATAACATTATTAATATCTTATGCTTTATAATGTTAACCCCCAAATATAATGCTAATCAAAAATTATGGAGTGACGAGGCTTTGAAAAATGCTGTATAATCTCATATATATAACTTCTGAGTTTATTGAATGGAGTGGTGATGAGTTCATATGGGCATGAAGTCACAGTGAAGTAAAGCAAAGCTGATGTTTGAGTAATGTGAGACATTTTATTTTGATTTTAAAAGAACATGCTTAATCAACGTGGTTGTGGACAGACTCTCTTACTGATACCACAAACTACCAGACTAGAAATGTACACAGAATAAAAACTGCATGCAAAGGGTCTTGCAGTAGTTGTATCAAGACTGAAAACTATTACTCAAAATTGGTGCTATCTGGTTCTCTCTTATGTTTGTCAGCATTTCAACACAGAAACTGTTTACCACAGGTATTGCAAAGCAGAGTGTGTATTGCATAATCACACAGAGACTCCTGTGACAAAGGGAAGTTTTAAGGAACCTTATAGAGATATTTAAAAAAATCAGGTTAGAAGTGCTTTGCACTTAAGAAAAAAAATGTTTATTTTCAATGTTAAAGTATTATAGTGGTTTAATGTCTAAATGGAATGCTGTAATCAATGTTTTAATTCCCGTTTCATGGTTTCTAATGCTCCTCACTGTGTTACCTGAGGTACTGGAATATAATTCTCATTCATTAGAATAAATGTATTTCCCATGACTACAGCAGTGTGAAGCCAGTACATAAAACTGGTCAGTTCGTTTGTGAGATTAACATTGAGAAGTTTATATCCTCTCTTGGACACCGAAAAATGTTTTTCAGTGGCATTATCAGTTTTCTACAAAGCATCTCTTAAAGCGAGGAGGTGTTTTGTTCCTACAGTTCTAGGCTTCTTTGTACCAAAACTGCCGTCTTGTTTAATGACATTGCTACGTGGGTTGAAATTAGGCTGACAGATTGTGAGCAAAGGCTGTGATATTACAAACAATAGTCTATTGAGCATGAGGAACTTGTTGAATTAGTTACCGAAGGCATTAGTGTTCAGTCCAGCCTCTTTAGCATCTGGAAGACAGAGAAGAAATAGTGTGCTAATGAAATGTTCCAATGGCACTGAACTGCAAATGGCTGCAGGTGACAATGGCAGCTGATGTGTGCTCTGAGGGAGCCTGGGAAGGGACAGTTCTGTGGGCAAAAGTAATAAAGTGAGATGCGACTCGCAAAAGCAAAAAATACTGATTTAGGAGGGAAGGGAGTATTCAAATCAAGAGAGAAAACAGTGCTGGGACTCCTGGAGAATTGAGCACACAATGATTAAACTGTCAGAGACACTGCTGGATTTGAGATGGGTAGTTAGGTCTTCCAGAGCAGACTGGATGGCAGTGGTTCCAACACACCAGCACTTCACCATCAGTGATTTCACTGACATTGTCACAATTCTCCTCTGCTAGTTTATGGATCCTGTGGATTCCATAAACTACTTCTGAGTGGGTCGTCTGTCTCCCGTACAATTCAGATCAGTTTGGTGTTGAAAAAGAAACTGAAATGTGCAATAGGTCAAAATCAAGGTCTCCTTTTGCTCTGTTTTAATTGTTCACTTAATAATCTTTTAGTTTCCTCTGCCTTGCAGTACAAGGTTTTAATGGTCTTTGAACTTAAAATATGAATTTAATTGCTTCTGTGTCCTTCTTTGCAAGTAATTCAATCAAAATTTGCACCTCTGGTCTGTGCTGCAGATAACTTAATCTGTATCTGGAATTGCTGGGATCACTGGGAGTCATGTATACATAGTATACATGGACCTGGTCCACAGTCTGTGTCCAGCCAGCCTGCTGCTAACCTTGGAGGATCCAACAGGATGCACAGCTGCAGTAACTCTGGGCATCCACACACCAAGCTTTGTCCAGAGAGAGCTTAAACTGTGACCTGTGAGGCAACTGGAATCCAACCTTTTTGGATTAACAGCTTGGACCACTTAAAATATCCAAAGAATATTATTATCCCAACTGTGTCATTTATGCGTGACATTTAATGAAAAATACAGAAAAACAAAGTCCTTTATTTAAAGGTATTATAATGCAATAGCTTGGTTTTGCTATTCTTATTTACTTTGGATAATAATCTGTAGGAAATTGTAGTTTATGTTAGGATTCGAGTTCTTTTGTTGTCAGTAAGTGATAGGTTTGACCCCTGTGGCAGAAAGTGCACTTAGTTGTGTCAAGGACTTCACCTAAAGCCAGGAGATATGGTGGGTTGGCCTTGGCCAGCTACTTGATGCCGATCCAGCACTCTCATCCACACTTCTCAACAGGACAGGGGTGAGAAAAATAAGGTGCAAAAGTTCTTGGGTCGAATACAGACAGGGAGATCCCTCACCAACGGCCTTCACAGGCAAAACAGGCTCCACTGGGGGAAACTAATTTGTTGCCCGTTAAAACAGGTTTGGATAGTAAGAAACAAAATAAAACTAGAACAATGCCTTCCTCCCCATCCTCCCCTGTTTCCCAGGATCAACTTCACCCCACTCACAAGGAGCAGAGCGAGGGGACGGGGGCTGCGGTCGGTGCTGTGCCGCCGCTCCCTCCTCACGCAGCTCCCCTGCTCCAGCCTGGGCCCTCCCTTCCCACAGCCCGCAGGGCCTGGCAGGAGCACCAGCTCCAGCCGGGCTCCTCTGTGGGCCGCTGCTCCTTCAGGAGACATCCACCTGCCCCAGCCTCTCCCCACAGGACACAGGAGAGTCTCTGCCCTGGCGCCCAGAGCACCCCACTCCTCCTCCTCCTCCTCCTCAAGCCCCTGTTCTCCTCAGCCTCCCTCACCCTTCTGTGTGGGTTTTGCCCTTTTTTAAAACACATTTTCACAAGGTGCCTCCACCTTGGCTGAGGGGCCGGGCTGTGCTGTGGAGTGCAACCGTTGTGGAGCCGGCTGGGACCATCGGGAACAGGCTGGAATGGGCTCAGGGAGCTCAGCCTGCAGCCCCTCTGCCGACACCCGGGATGGCAGGTGACATTATTGGTATTTGGCAGAGGAATTCTGGCTGTACAATAGAGCTGTTTTTTCAAATATTTCCAATGCCAAGTGTCTCCTTGAGGCGAGCGCTCAGGAACAGATTGTGAGCGTGGAGTGGGTCTCTGCAGAGGGAAGCAGTGGAGAGAATTTTCTTCTGAAAAGAGGGATGTGGGTAGGAAAGTAGAGGATAACATTAAAAATAGGGAAGATTAAAAATGTTCCATTAGTAGAGCTAGAAACAATTTAGGATAAGGAAGAAATCCTGGAAATATATTGATGAAGAGAGTTTTTCCCTGCTTCTTTTCCAGCCCAGAACAGCAGATCAGCCAAATTTTGCTGCTTGTGCTGGTACTGAGCAGTGTGTTAGCAGAGAACAGTCCTATTGACTGCCATGGGACTTGCTGAGAAGGGAATTGTTTAGCTCAAATAGCTTTATAAATACATATTTGAATGCGACAATATATTTCCAACCCAAAAATATATATCTAACCCCAAAAATATATTTGTAACCCATGTTTCAGTGCTATTTTTAATATTTTTTAAATAAATGTAATTTAGCATGTGAGGTAGAGTATGGCCCTGTCGTACAAGACGTGGTGAGGTGAGTTTTGGATTGAATCAGGAAAATGTAAAGTCTTATTTTTGTAGTGTATAAATGAATTGGACAGTCTAAACCCTGTCTCTAAAAATCTTGGCACACTTCAAAGGAAAAATGCCATTTTAGCAATTTAAAAGCACTTAGTGGGTTTTCCCAGTGCTGAACTTTATTTCTATAGCCAGGGTGGTTGCCTGCTGGATAATGCCATAGGGGACAATGTCTCTCTGACTACATTTAAAAATATTATTCCATGAAATTCACTAGGAACAAGCTGAGGCAAAATCTCTTTATTTCTTTGGAAAGAGGTGTTAGTTCAGGAAAAGTATTGAGATAGTTTTTGAATCAAAAAGGAGAGGAATGCTAGCTCATCTGTGGGGGGAAAGGGATGCTCAGAGCACCAGCCAGAGGAGCCAGGGGGAAATGTGGGGACTTTTTAGTCTTGGAGGGGCTTGAACATGAGCAGCAATTGGAAAGAAAGAAATCCATACAGGTGGGGGCTAAAAGATGTGCAGAGACATCAGCAGAAAAATGGAAAAAAGAAACAATTAAAAGGATGTTAAGGCACATAATTGGAATACTCAGATAAGAGGAGGCAAAAGGTCAATTGGATTGAATAATAAAAATGCATGTTGTCTTCTTTTTGATACATGTTTTATTTTTTGACTATGATTAGGCCTTTTAAAAGTAGTTATGAACTGTTGTAAGGCTTATTATACTTGTATATTTTAACCAACAGAGGTAGAAATTTTTAAAACTTTTCTCAGTGTGGTTCCCGGGGAGTTGATTCATTAAAATGCATTCTTTTTCAAATGTTCCTGGTAGGGAACCTTGGACGGGTGGACCATGTCACAGAGTTTGAGTATGACCTGTTCATCAGACCAGATACCTGTAACCCACGCTTTCGAGTCTGGTTCAACTTCACTGTTGAAAATGTGAAAGAATCACAGGTAAGTGCTACTAAATTAGATGGTATGATAGCTTTAAAAACTGCTTGCTCCAGAATATATTTTCTTAAACAAAAAAGATAACATCTAGGGTCTGTAACTAAAAACTGCTGTAAAATGTCTTTGTTCCTTGAATTTTTATGAATAAAAGCAGGTGTCAGCATGACTGGGTATGACCATGCTTCTCAGCTATCCAAAACAGCAGGTAATTGCAAAGGCATTGTAATGTTTGCCAGCTACCAGAACTTGTACTAATAATGGCTGCTATATATTTGTGGTTTTATATTCCAACCAAATATGTGTGTTAATATGTGGAAAAGAAGTCCATCATTGCTGTTCAAACATTGTCACTCCAGCCTTCATTTAATACATGTAGAACAATGAGGTAGCTTTGCAAACAGGCGTTTCTCTAGTGACTTGTAGCAGAGGAGTTGCTTGCCAATGTGTCCCTTGTGAAAGAGGAGGTTTAAATCTGAGTCAACTCAATTTGATAGGCAACTGTTTTACTTTTAAACAATGTTTCTTTGCTGTAAAAATGCCCCCTGAGGAAGAAACTTCCTTGCTCTAATTTCTCGCTTACAAACTTGTAAAAGTTTTATACCGACTTTCCCATTGAAAAACCAGAAAACATTTAATTCCACTTTTTGCATGCACCTTGCATTTTATTTTAGTTTATCAGAATCAATCTGTCATTTTTACTTAATGGAAACAAAACATATTTAGTAAGAGAAAAAAAACTGCAGAAGGTTGATATTTGTATTCCTACGAGACTAATATCTTCATATCCACCTCTGTACCATTCCTGTTACAACTAGAAATCATGAAATTGTTTATCTATCTTCCTGGAGCCTGATACTTTATCAGACAGACCCTTTCCCCTGCTGTGCCTTACTCAACTGTGATCAAATTATATAGTCATGAGATGAATGGGAATCTGTCTCAAGGAGGCAAAGAGATCGGGTAGAAAGATACAATATATATCTAGGGCTTACAGGATATTTGTTTTCATGGTTGTCTACATGAAAGAGAATGGTTCCACTATTAAGTTTGACTTGTGAGGTCTGTTTTTATAATGTGTGTTCCTATAATCTTTTTTCCATCTCTCCAATTTCCGTTAAAATGAGACCTGCATGGACGTAATCTAGTCTGGAACCCTTTTTAGGCCTTTGTACTAGAGGCCATGGGCAGTATTAGTCATTACAGCTCAGCTATATTAAATGAAAGTTAGAAGTTGCTACATCAAACATACTGCATAATATGTTTTCTGCATTTTGATTATTTTATTTTATGTTTTACTAGAAAACAGTAACAAGGAAACTCAAGCTATTCAGTATTGCTTAAAAATGTTGCACTAATACACGAGTAACTTCGGTCACAGTATGTGTAAAAGTAGATATTTTAGTAACTGTCTGTAAATCATTACCTGGATAATATTGTATTTATTTTTGATTTATCATATGGGTAGTGTGTGAGGAAGGCACATTTATACAGTTATATATACTAGGTCTGGTTTCAGCTGTTTGGATGAGAACTCACAAAGAGCAGCTACTTTTATTTGTTTTATGTATTATCTATTAGTGCAGTATTTTGTGTTATTAATCTAGTGATAAATGAAAACAAAGACCTATTAGACATTCCTGCCAATCTTACTGTCCATGCACTAACATTCTGTAGAGAAAAGGTTTTTTACATTCCGGTTTTAATTTTCTTAAGGCATGGAGCCTCCATTTCCTATGGCTCAAAACTGCTTCATAGACTCCTCTCACTTACAGTGTTGCTTGATTTTTAGCCTAAAGCTTTCCTTTATTTAATCCCACAGTTCCCAGTTGCAATTCTGCTTAGTAATAACTCCTCTTGGTACAAATAAATCCTCATCATCCTTGGCTAACATTTATATTTCTGTAAATTATAACATTCCTCATCATTTGTGTCTCAACCTAGCTATCATGTTTGGTTCTTTCAGCCCTATATCCAATAGACCACTTTACCTTTTAAGTATTTTTCCGCTTTGGGGCCTTTGGACTTTCATCATAAGTGAATCTTTCAAGCCCTTTGGTAATTAGCCTAGTTTCCCAAGGAAACAAAGCTTATATGATCACACTGTCTGCTTGCTAGCCTGGCTTTTTGTATGGCTGCTGATCTCTCTCCTCTCTTTTCTCCCTCAATAGCTTCTTAACTCTTGGCCAGTTTCAGCACCACTGGACAGGAATTCCTGTAAGTTTTGGGAAAACAGGCTGCCAGATGGGCAAGAGAGCCATTAGTGTTCCCACTGGCAGCCAGGCTATAGTATGAGATCATTTCTTATTAAACATCAGAGAATCCACAGAGGAGATGAATAGGAGAAAGTACTCATTGGAATTTGCATTTTTAAGATACCAGAGAATCCAACCATGAAATCCAAATCCATAGCATTGAGTAATTTTGCTTCTTGCAGAACTTCTTGTTTTTATTATTATTCTACCTCTTCCAGTTTCCTTCAATATTTTCTTTATAGTGCGGAACTAAAAGGTAATGGACAATTCCGAGTACGCTAATCCCAACTTTCAGAGAAGGGACTGTGGTCCCTTTGCTCTGTTACTGTCTCAGTATAGACAGCTGGAAATTGCAGCAGCCTTTTGTTGCTGGATCACTATGGAAACTCAGGCCTAATTTGTTTTTCCCTATCATCCAGAAGTCTTTTTCAGAATGATTGCTTCCGTGCTCCTGGTACGTGTGTCTGAGGTTACTGCTGTGCTTCAGCAACAAGGGCAGGTAATCGAGCTAAGTTCTGTAGCATTTCAGTGACAGCCCTAATATTTTCAGCATTATTTTTATAATTTTTTTATAAACTTGGTTTGTTTGATGTTCACTTCCCTGCGTTGGAGTAGAACCAATAGAATTTTTTTTTACTTGGAAGTTGGTGAGTTAATTTTTTCTTCCTTGTGACTTGGACTTCTACATCAGACGTTTTGTGTCATCAATTTTTTTTTTTTTTAGCAAGGAATTAAAAAAAAATTCAAAGGAAATATCTAATGACTTGTATTTATGGAGGAAAAGAACCATCATATAAGATACCTGTGAGATGTAAAAGCTGGTCTTTTGGTCTCCTTATACATTTTCTGACTTGCAAGTCAGTTGGTCTGAAAAGGTTTGAGCTCTAGATTGTTTTGTTCTTTGTTCTGTGCATTCATTCAACACCAATATTGGGAAAAAAAAAAGAAACTGCTATGTTATATGCAAGGAAAACATACTCTTTTATGATTTACACATATCCAAAGGGAGAGTGAAGGAAATAGGATTTGCTGTGGAACACATGGTCTCTTGGGCAAAGCCTCCAATTTCTCTAATTATATACGTGTCACAGGCTGCTGCCTGTTTCTGGATAATGCTCTGTATTGGGCAGGGTTTGTTTCCTATTCACTTCAGCCATGGCCCTTACAACACCATCGATGATTTTGCTGAATTTCTTCTCCGTGGAACGGGAAATTGGATGAAAAAATTTCATCTCCAAATTGCGTATTTTAAATAGGCCGTGCTTCAGGGGTGAGATTACCTCTGAGCTGGAATGTCTTTAATTCTATTAGTAGCCACAGTGATTCATTTGAGCTTCTTGTGAAAAAAAGAGAGATGTGTGTATGTGTGAGAAATTATAAAAACATGCTGCTATACTGATACTGGAGGATTTTACAGGTGAAAAGAATGATTATTGCTCTTGAGGGCCATAGCCAGAAATTCTTCTCAAGTAGTTGACACTCACTGCTCCAGATACTGTAACCACGCCAGAAAAAGATGATCTCTGTCCTGAAAAATATACTTTTGAGCAGTCTGAGAAGAGATAAGAGTTAAATAGAACAAACTGATGAAAGGATTAAAAATATCTGTGAGGATTTTAGTTTCACAAACAACAGCCATATTATACCAATAAGTAATGCACATCTAGGCCTCATGAAATATTCTGTGTGTGTATGTACCCTGAACAGCTCTGCTGTCTGATGAATCATGTTGAGAAATGGTATTTTCACTGAGATTAAAAAAAGAATTTCCAACAGAAGGGGTTTCCTAATAGTGCCAAATTTTGTTCTGTAAGTGTTGATAAACACATTTGGAGTTCTTCATCACAAAGGTACTGACAAAATATACCAAGAAGGAGAGAGGAGAAGAATGGATATTTGGGAGATACCACTTGATCATTACTTACAGTTAATAAATCAATCCAGACTGAGGTTAAAATCAAAGAACCAAATGTTATTTACTTCAAAGGCATTCTCTCTGTTACTTCAGTTGCATTTGGATTGAAACTAGAATTTTGACTCATGATTTTTTGGGGGATCTTCTGTTATGTATATATATGGATCAGGAAAAAGGAAAAATTTCTGCAGAAATTTAAACGGGATGCCAAGGTAAGACAGAGAATGTCACAGCTGGATATTATTGTGAACTTGTGGAGCTGTCATTGTAGAGTTCTCTCTTTTTTTGTCCTACACTGTTTTGTAAAATAGAAAAGGCTGTAAGATCTCTGTTGTCTTTAGTTGATTAGATTTTCAGGAAATATTAATATCGACAATGGATTTTATAGTATGTTCAGGCCTCTTATTACTGTCCTAAAACAACTCAATGATCCTTAGCAGACAACTGCTTCTTTGTGGTGTTACAGCTGTGATTGTTTAAAGGTATGAATGGTATATATACAGGGAAAGATAATGTCTCTTATTATACCAACTGATACATTTTGGAGAAGCAGGGGGGGAAAAGAAAAGCAAAAAAAGTACCTCACCTTGATGTGAGGTGCTTAATCTTTTTTTCTGACCCAAGAACTTGGTCAGTGCAGTTAATTTGTTCAGAAGCTGCATCTGAAGTTAGATGGAGTGAAGATGCCATCAAAAGCAGTCTGAAGTTGGAAATAGGCTACCTTTTTACTTTCTTTTTCTTAAGCAGACATTCTTTGCTCTACTGTCATTCGGGGATTTAAGTTACTGGTATCAAGATGCTTGATAACATCTTATAGTTGTTCCAGCTTCTCATTT